TTCAATTTTATCTTGTATTTTTTTTTCTTCTTTGTATTTTATGTATTGTATTATTTATTATTATTATTATGTATTAATATATGTATTATAATATTTTTTTTGTTAATATTTATGTGTATTTTATATTATGTATTATATATTATATATTTTTTTTATCTTTTTTATTTTATTCATTTTTGTATTTTTACTTATCTATTATATATTTGATATATTTTTATTATTATTATTTTATTTATCCTATAATATCTGTTGATTTATCTTCTCTAATTATCTAGTTTTTTTTATTTTTTTTTATTTGGAGGGTTAGGATTGAAAGTTGAAAAATCCCACTGGGAGTGGGAATTCAATCAGAAGAGTCCAGACTGGATTCAAAGATTGAATTCCCGTCCAAAGGGGAATTGGGATTGATCAGAAAACTCTTGATTCAATCCCTATATAAAGCACTCCTGGAACAGAATAAACACAAAGAAAACAGTAAGGCAAAGCTACTGATTTGAGAGAAAAGAGGCGTATAGGAAGCCTAAGAAAAGTTTAGGAGTGTTCTGAGTGTAAAAAATTTTTTTAAAAATTTTTGGCGAAAATTTTTTTTGGAAATTTCTGAGAAATTCCAGATTCCGCGAAAATTTCGGTGAAATTAATTTTCCGGCGACAATTCCAGCGAACATTGAAGTTTTCGGCAACCAGCCCAGTTTCCGACGAAGAATCCCAGAAATCGGCGATCTTACCGGTCAACTTCCGACGAAATTTCCAGATTCCGTATGATATTTTCCAGAATCCGGCACCGGTGTTCTTCAGTTTTAGAAAGAAGGGAGAGGAAAAGGAAGAAGAGAGAGAGAGGGAGGAGCGGTCTACCGAAAAAAATGAAGGGATTACCTTTTATACCTCCAAAACGACGTCGTTTTGGCCTTAAGTAACCAGAGGATCCGCGCGTTTTTTCCAACCCGAACCGACCGAGCGTCGCCCGCTTTCCTGACCCGCGCGTGCTGCCCCTCCTCCGAGCCTAGCCTAGCCGCGCCAAGCCGCCAAGCCGCTCCTCCCGAGCCGTTTTCTTTCCTTTAGCCGAGCCGAGCCGAAGCCGCGATCCGAGTCGCTCCAGGTTTTTTTTTTTTTTCTTTGTTTATTTGTTTATTTTATTTGTTTATTTATTAGATTAGGTTTATGTAATATTCTTTTATTTATTTTTTATTATTTTATTTTCTTTAAATAAAAATAAAAAAATTCTAAAAAATATATTTTTAGGGAAAAGTTGAAAGTATCAATTTTCCTTAGAAATAAATTTCCAAAAAATATTTTAGGGAAAAGTTGAAAGTATCAATTTTTTTTTAGAAATAAACTTCCAAAAAATATATATTTTTAGGGAAAAGTTGAAAGTATCAATTTTTCTTAGAAATAAATTTCCAAAAATATTTTTGGGGAAAAGTTGAAAGTATCAATTTTCCTCAGAAATAAATTTCAAAAAAATATATTTTTAGGGAAAAGTTGAAAGTATCAATTTTCCTTAAAAGAAAAATAAATTTCCAAAAAAAATATTTTGGGAAAAGTTGAAAGTATCAATTTTTCCTTAGAAATAAATTTTCAAAAAAAAGGGTTTTGAGGAAAAGTTGAAAGTATCCAATTTTCCTTGAAATTCGAAATTTCCAAAAATATTTTTAGGAAAAAGTTGAAAGTATTCAATTTTCCCTAAAAAAAAAAATCATTCTTTCCTTCCTTTCTATCTTAATTTTGATTTTATTTTTTTCTTTAAATTAATCGACGATGGAGCCTCTGCCCAGTGAAACAATAGTTTTTCTTGCATACTCCTGGTAAGGGAATTTTCTCAATTTTCTGTTAAAAGTATTAGAGTCAATTGAGAAAATTCCAATAATTAATGTACTTGGTAAATTTTTAAGGCTTTTGGATAACACAAATTAAGCTGTACCATCTTTTGATGGGCGTTTGTGAGGTGCTATAACCTTCCTCACACGTAACCGAACTCCCGAACTCTGTTCTGGTTTATAGACCTGAACCTATTTTTCTAGAACCCTTAAACTTAGGTGTTCCCTAAAAGGATAGATTCCATAGGTGGCCAATCGTATCTAGACAAAAAGATTGGTGGCGACTCCCTAAAGCCAATGTCTAGCGATAGATCCCCGGATCTAGACGTTATGACAGTACCTAAAAAAAAGAAAAAAGACAAAGCGTTTTACATTTAGGAATTCTTACCGACTTACAATCCAAGAGGGATAAATCGAAAATACTCAAAGGAGTCTCTAAAAATATGTTGATCAATAATTAATTTAAGATCATTTAGATAAGTAATGAGATTAAAATAATAATTATAATTAAAAAATTAATAAAAATTTACTAATAAATAATTGATTTAATAGGTTAAAGTTCGTTTTTCTCAATAGAGAGATATTGAGTTCGAGTTTTATTAGTGGTCACTTGTTGGAGTCATCTCGAATGCACGATTTACAATCACTTATCTTAAGTTGTCAGGTACGATACATTTTATCATGATCTGAGATACTGAACAGTTATCTACCTTCAGGTTTTTCTTTAAAAAAAATAAAAAATAAAAATTTATATCAAATGAATTTTATTAAAATTAATATTTAAATTCAATTAATAATGACTGTACCATATATCTTGTCATGATCTGAGATACTTAACAACTTATTTATCTTTAATTTTAAAAAAATATAAAATAAATTTTATTAAAATTAACATTTAAATTAATTATATTATACTAAAAGCTGCAGTTACATCCAAATATAAATTTAATTGAATGAATTACAATGTTTTAAGAATAGAAGTACCGCAAGTGAATCAATTTCAATGATCATTTGCTAAATATTATCATTTTAATTTCGTGCGTAAAATTAAAAATTATATAATTTTTTTATCAAATAATTTTTTTTTATTTTGTTTAGGCTTTGAAGAGATAAGAACATGACTTAGCTCAGTGCATTTTCATTTTTGTTTTTCAAATTGAGCCTCATTTTATTGGCATTGGGCCAGTCCAATCTTATAAATAAAATACCGTACCATACCTGCCGATATCACAAATGACAAATCACGTGAACCAGCAATCATGCAAAATTAATATAAAAAATGGAAAAACCCCAGCTATAAAAGCCATAACTCTCCAACAACCCATCTGCCCCACACTCACTTCGTTCTCTCCGCCGTTTTAGCATTTCCTCTCATTTCTTTCCTTTTTTTTTTCTCTTCAGCACGCTTAAATGGCATCCATAGCTGGTTCATCAATCTCCATGCAACCTCGCCACACCCTGGTATCTATTCAATCTTTTCCTTCTTCGAATCTTTATAGCTACAGTTCATTTATTTCTTTTATTCTTTGTTAGTTGTTTTTTTCGCGATCTGTTTGTTCTTTTAGTTGGTCTTGTTCAGATATTACCTCTTGTTTTTAGCTTTCAATCTGATGCTGATTTTCGTAGTGTTCAGAATGAGGCTTCACAGTTAATTTTGTTAATTCAAGTTCTTTCATGACTGATATGATCTGGGTAATCTGAGATCTGAAATTTTATCATAACCAGAGGGAGCATTGTTTATTTTTGCATTCCAATGAGCTTTTGTAGAGAGGAAAGCTATGGATATTCTGGGTATTGTTGGTTTTTAGTTTAAGAAGGTTTGCTGTTCTAGTTTTTGCTAAACATGATTTTCTGAGGAATTATATTTGATTTATAACATGGATTAGCATATTTGAATGACATATTGTCAAATATCATTATATAACGTTGTATTTACATTATTGATGTTTAGAGTGACTATGCATATTAATGGCACGTCTTTGGCTTTCCTTTTGGATTTTGTTTTTAATGTAGTAAAATAGGCTATGATGGTAGTGCAAAAGTAAAGTTTTTATTTTTCTTGGTATAAGGTGTTGAGATATCTTTGAAGATTGTTGTTTCTTCTAGAACTATTCTTTTTATGTGAATTATTGACTTTTTTTTTTTTTTTTGCTGCTGAACATCTTTGAACAGGCTACAACTAGGGTTTTTGGGTTGAAATTGGTTTCATTTATGAACCAGGGAAGAAGCAGCCTCTCCTTTAGGTTGCATCCAATGCCTGCTCGCTTGCGGATTTCCTGTGCTGTATGTTCTCATTGAATGAAATGTTAATAGTTTCAAGAGTATTGGTTATTATATACCCATTGGTCGGGCCAAAGACTACACAACAGGGTTTACATTTTTGTCTTGTGTCCATTTGACCAATGACAATGAAATTAACATTGAATAGTTAATTGTATAGAAATGTTGTAATGATATGAATCCACTTGTGGACTTGCCCCTGCTAGTGTATAGACATTTTAACTATTTCTTTTCTCTTTGATATTTCTTATGCGGAGTTGTTAGAAAATATGGTTTAATTGTTTGTTTTCTCAGTTTACGCTATTATGTTGTCAACTTTAAGGGGCGTGGGGAATGGAATGGTGTGCGAGTCAATTGCTTCTAGTATCTGTTTATCTGTTGTCATTTCTGTTTTTTTCCCCACCTTGTGGTTGCATGAGGTCCTTCATATCTGCATATTCATTAATGTTCATTTTTTTTAAAATACTTCTTGTGATCTTAGGCGGTTTGTTGTAAATTATATTAGTTTATGATCTAGACATTTTATTTTAGAAATCACAGTTACACTTTTGGTAATACGGAATTTGATGCCTGTGTCAAATGTAATTGGCAGGCCAAACCAGAACTGTGGATAGGTATGTGAGAGTAGTAAGGGAAACCAACTAGCTATAGCAAAAGACAAACGGTTTACTGAGTGGAATCAAAATTTGCTGATCTTGGAGCTGATTCTCTTGATACGGTACACTCGGACTGTTAGGTTTTTGTTCTTTTTCGTTTTCATCTCATTACGGTAAACTAGTGTGCATGATCAAGGAGAGCAAGCATTTGTTTGAGTTTGATGAATTTTTTTCCTATCTATTTGTTTTTAGATGCCTGGTTTATGTGTTTGGCCTTTGGTATATTACTTTTCTCAAAACCACTCTTCATTTTCTTTATCAAGATGGGCATATGCAGTTATTTTTGCTGTCCATGTTAAGCCATGCCACGCTTCTATCTTAGCTTTCCTGACCAACTCTAGGTTTTGCTTTGATTGAAGCAAGAGCAGCATGTCCACTCTGGAATGTACTTTAAGGCTGTGCTTCTTCCTTAAAAGACCTAGGTTGGTGGAGGGAACATTATTGCAGGGCACAAAATGGGCATGTCTGGGCTAAGGATGCATACGGCCAAACAAGAAAGTTTTTGTAGCTTTTATATTTTGGCAAACATAATAAAATTATCTTTTTGTTCTTCCCACAGCATGAAGCCCTCTCTCCCCTCTCCTTTTGAGTTTCCTTGTTGCTTTTTGACTAACAACATTGTTTTGTTAGTTCTTCCCCAACTCTAAACTCTCTCCCACTTTACCCCTTAGATTGTTTTACCTTCTGTCAATTAGCTGTTTTTAACTTAAAGGTTTTTGCTTGTACTTGTTGTAATCGGTGGAATTCCTTTTTCAGGTTGAGATTGTGATGGGACTTGAGGAAGAATTTGGAATCACTGTGGAAGAGGACAATGCTCAAAGCATCACAACTGTTCAGGATGCTGCAGATCTCATTGAAAAGCTCTGCAGCGAGAAAGGTGCCTAGAACCAATGACCTAAATCAGAAGTTCATTTGCCGATATTGATGTTACTTACTAGCTTGCAACCTCTAGAGCATTTGGCAAAATCTTGTTGTGAACTCAAGTCCATTTATTTGTTCAATCTAGGAAAACTCGTAAAGTTGTTGGGATTTTTAGTTAATTTGTGGATTTAACTTGGTGTTGTAAGTCTACGAAATACTATTTGATCTGATCGTGTGACTTTTTTAAATTGGTAGTGACTCATAGAACTTTTGTTTCCTTAAGCTGCACGTATGGGTATGTTGAGTAAAGTAGGTTTTAGCTGTGGGGTAGAGTCCCTGACAAAGGTTATATGCCCAAATCAAAAGCTTAAAATGACGCGGGGTTGAATCTTATTGAGGTAAGATAGTCCTGAATGTCTATTAAAGTTTTTTAAAGTTTTACAACAGAAAATGATAACCAATATAATTGAGATTTAACTATCATTTTGTATAATTCAAAATCACATATATAAAAACAAAATAAGTCATTTATCTCAAGGGTTCCAACGAGAGTGGTAGACAAACAGAACACTGGAATAAATAGCCAAAGTAGATTATGCAAACAACAAAACAAACAAACGAGTTTAGGTACATCAACAAATGTTACAAATTAAACTTCCAATCTATAACCATCAAGCAAGACTTTGAAATCTGAAGCAAAACAAAGTAAAAAGCTCACACATATTTTAGAATTACAATCCACAACCTGAAATCTAATGCAAACAAACAGGGTAAAAATTTCCATGGCCTGCAAGCTTTGGCTGATTCATCCATCATGAGATCTGCTGGCTGCTGCATGCAATGGTTAAAACTTGAAATGAGTACTTAACAAAGAGAGCTGATAATTAATTACTAAATCAATAGAACATCAGAAAAAACAATATATAAATGTTTCATATCCAAATGTGTTTAATAACAAAATTAAAATGATTAGAATTATATAGGTCCATGATAAAAATTGTTACTCTATAAAAAGAAAGTAAATAACAAAGAAAATTTATCTTGGTTGAAAATGTTCTAAAGCTAAAGAAATTTTGCATTCTTATTTTGTATTCAAATATTACCATTTTTGGCCCTTTTGTTTTATCATTTCACACAAATTCTAATGACAATGGTTGCAATCAAATGCAAGTCTAAAAGAGTGATAGATTATATTTTTTAAATACTCTACTTAAACATTGAGTTTTGTTGCTGTATGTAGAAAGAAAAAAAAATCTGGAAAAGATTTGAAAGTTTTCGACGAAATGTGGAATATACATGTGTCATCTTACTAACCCCGCTTACAAAGTCTAAAATCTTAGTAGATGGAATAATTTCTCTAATTATAATAGTTAAAGTAGATTGGTATGGCAGTAAATGAAAGCTCACCTTGTTATTCTGTGTGGAAGCTAGCTCCAAATTATATACCTGCAGTACTTGAAACAAAAAATTTTTCCCATTAAAAGTAGTTAGCTTTAAAAGATATTTAAGGCAAAAAGAAGTTTTATGTAACAACCTTAATAACACAGGAAACTCTAAATTCTTATTGTCAACGTACAACAAGTTTTTAAAGAAAGAGGAGAAAAGGCCTCTGGTGAAGATTGAAAGAAGCAAAACATGAAAGAGAGATAAGAGCAAATAAAATCTGATAGAGAATTTCAACATTTACTACATACCTCTAATCATCTATGATATCAACCTCTTGGACATGTGCAATTTTGTGCCAATCTGCACCCCCATCTCGTCGGCATCTTTCGCTCAAGATCGGACATCTTTCAATTTTTAGTTGTCTAAGTTCAGTGAGGCGATCCATTCCCTCCGGAAGAGATAACAAACTTCGGCAACGACGGATCTCAAGTTTATGAAGTGATGTGAGATTTTGTAGCCACGCTGGTAGAACCTCAAGCTTGTAACAGAATTCAATTTCTATATGCTGCAAGGTGGTAGAAGATCCTTCGAACAGCAATCGTGGCAAATATGTCAATGCAGCTAACCCCCATACTCTGAAAGTTTTAAGGCTCAAGTGAAGGTCTTTGTCTTCTTCCTCTTCCGGTTCCGTTTGTAAATTGATTTTACGACAATGAACAATGTAAAGTTCTTCTAATTTGGTTAGGAATTTCAGGCTTCGTGGCAATGAAACAAGTTTATGACAATAAAGCAGATAAAGTGTTCGAAGTGATGTCAGGCACTGCATTCCTTCAAACAAACATTTTAACTTCTCACAGTTAGCCAACTTTAAGTATTGAAGAGAACTCCAACATCGTGGTCTAATTTCTTTCAAACGCTTAGCTTCAATAGTTATTTCTAGATGTCTAAGCTCAATCAAGCTTTGCACGCTGTCAGGCAACTGCATCAAAGGAACAGCAGTCATTTTTAACGTTAGCAAGCTCCGTAGCCCATAGAAAGAACTAGGAAGTTCCCGTATTAGGCGACATCCTTTCAAGTTGAGGTATCGTAAGTGCTTCAAGGTACCAATGGAATTTGGTAAGGCCTTCAATAATGAACCACTTAAATTAAGTGCCCGTAGATGCTTGAAATTTGAGACACATAAATTGATAAAAGAGTCACCAATAGTATTTGGTTCCCTTGAAACCTTTGGCGCAATTGCCGTTCGAACATTTTTTAATTTCTTCAAAATTTGTGGAAGTTCCAGCAGCCCGTCCTCACAAAATGATAAATGTCGAGTTTTTTTGTCAACACTTTCTGTTTGGTAATTCACTGTTTTACACTCTTTTTGTAACACCTCTAATCCAACATCATGGATCAAATCATGCATTTTAAATCTACAAGCAAAGAAGAAATCCTCAACCTTCTCAATGAGGCACCTTGACAGTAACTCATTCAAATATCGCCTCCCAACATCCTCCCACTCTTGCTTTTGCTTTGAATACTCAAGCAGTCCATTTGCCATCCAAAATTGGATGACATCATCACTATCATAGATTTCATCCTTTGGGTACAAGGACAAAAATGCAAAACATCGTTGCAAATGAGATGGCAAATGGTTGTAACTCAACTTCAACACTGGAAAAATACCATCTTCACCTTGCTGAAGTCTCCATATTTCATCATCTCTAACAGAGATCCATTCGGATTCTTCAGTTTCTGAACAAAGCAAGCTCCCCACTGTTCTTACTGCCAAAGGAACCCCTTTGCATTTTTTTACAATTTCTTCTCCGATTCTCATGAGATTTGGATGCCGCCTCTCATCACCATCACTAAATGCCCATTTTGCAAACAAAGTCAAACATTCTTCATGAGGGAGACCATTCAATTCATAAGGGTGAACTGAACTCATTATTGAGGCAACCTTCAAACTCCGAGTAGTCACAATGATTTTACTTTGAGCAAAGTCACCCATTGACTTCAATAAATCTCTTAACTCAATCCTTCTCCCACGATCTTCATTCCACACGTCATCTAGAACGAGCAAAAACTTCTTATCAGTCAAAAGACTTCGCAAACAAGTTTGCAAGGCCTCAACTGGTAAATCATCACATTTTTCTCGTTTGTTGATGGAGTGAATAATCAGCTTGAGCAATCTAGCAAGGGTAAATTCCTCAGAAACACAGACCCATATTTTCAATGGGAAAAGTCTAGTAACCCGATCGTCATTGCATACGAGTCGAGCGAGTGTGGTTTTCCCTAGACCCCCAATTCCAACAATGGGAATGACAGGGATGTCTCCAGCCTTACTTGGTTCCATCAAACGGTTGACGATTTTCTCTTTATCCACATCTCTACCAATGACATCAGAAGAATACACAGAAGAGTGAGTCTCCCTGAGAATAACATGTCGGTTATCGCCACCCTGTCCTAGATTAAAGCTCTTCCACTCAGTGTCAAGTTCGTCTAACCTCTGATGGATCTCTCTGATTTTATGACCCACTTTTAAAGAGGATAAAAGTGGGAAAGAGCATAAAGCCAAAAATCGTACCCTTATGCTGATGCCTGGATGATTTACGACCTGTTTCCGTAGAGCTTCACAGTGGAATTCATCAAGCACATCTTCAGCATCATAAAAGATGTCTCTGAGCTTCCACAAACAACGGCTCAACTTTTTATTCTGGTGCTGCTGCCTCTCAGCATCCAAAAGCACATCTTTAATGCCGCTCATGGTCTCCTCGAGCTTTTTCAAATCGCTTTTGACATTAAACGCCAAACGAAGTTCTTCTACAGCGAGATGGGCTATTTTCTCCAGAACTCTTTCTGCAATATTGAAGAGAAATGATTCTGCCATAATTGAACTCTAGAAGCAGGGAAACGAAAAAGAAAGGTAATGAAGCACTCAAAAATTAATTTGTTTTAAGCAATATATCGAAGTTGCCTTGGAAAAAGATAGATGAGATGCTTCTGGGGAGTGAAAAACCAGAAACTGGACAAGGAGAAAAGAAAAAGAAAGAAAGCAGTGTAGGTGGAGGCAAGAGAGAAAAATCGGACAAAGAAAAATAGAAAGATAAAGAATAAGAATTAAGTATTAAGAAAACAGAAAAGATGAGAATAAACTGAGGGGCATATGTAGAAAAAAAAAAGTGGAGGTGAATCGAGATTAATGTAAGAGGGTAAAGGAATAACGTTAAAATATTAAAAAAAAAAAAGAATGAATCACATTCACATTAACGTAAGAAATTTTTTTATTAAAGTAATTTAAATAAATTAATATGATGTTGAAATAAAGCTGACGTAAAGCTTCATGTCACATTGACACGTTCGTCTTGATACTGGAGCTTATGGGAATAAAGTATTTTAAAAAGTAGAACAAATTGAGGGGCATAAGCAGAAAAATAAAGGTTAGGGTGACTTGAGATTAGTGCGAAAAGATAAAATAACAAGGTTAAAATGTTAAAAGAGAATGATAATAAAGTATTTAAAAATAAAAAGAATAAGAATAAAATGAGGCGCGTAGAAAAAAAATTAAGGTGAATCCAGATCAGTGCAATAGGGTAAAAGAATAAATTTAAAATATGAAAAAAAAGTATTCAAAACAATTTAATAAAGCTTTTATATTATTTTTAAATAATTTTTTATTTTTTTATTTTTTATTAGTTAAGTTTTTATAATTAGATTAATTATATATTAACATATTGTAAGACATGTAGATAATTATGTGATAAAAATATACACAACAAAAAATGTAAAAAAATAAAAAATTTTCATTGGAAAAAAGTGGTTTGACAAAATTTTTTTTAATTGGTATCATAATTAAAAAATATTAAAAAAATAATACTAATATTTAAAATTAATAAAAAAATTACTTTTATGATCTTAATATTTATTGAATGTTAGCTCAAAATTGCAAATGATTGTCATATGTACATGTAAATAAAATATATGTACATTAGAGGTCGTAAAAGTATTTTCATTTTTTTGTTAATTTTGCATATGGACATCTTTTCATTCATTATTTTTTATTATTGTATCAAATAATAAATATTTTCAATTTATGTATAGTTTTAATAAAAATAACAAATTATTATTTATTAATAAAAAGTAATGTCTACAGATAAAATTAAAAAATGAAAATATTTACATTTATATAAAAATGAAAATATCTATATTTATATAAAAATTAATAAAAAGCAAATTAAAATAATTTTTTTAATTTTCATATAAATATATATAAATATTTCCTTTTTTATTAATTATACATACATAAATTTCCTTTTCACTAATTATTTTTTATTACATTATCAATTAATTAATCATTTTTTAATTTTTATATATAGATAAATATTTTTCTCTTTTATTAATTTTATATATAATCATGTTCTTTTTATTAATAAATAATAATATAAGAGTTTAGTTACATTGTTTTGAATAGTTTAAGGAATTTTTATATTTTAGCCAAAGTATAAGTAGATAATGGAAAAAAAAAATAGAGCAGAAAAAGAAAAATAAGCGAAATGAATTGCAATGGCAGTTAGATGAAAATCAAAATTTGAATATTGGAAGAACAAAATAAAGAAAAAGGAAAGTTCGGTTTGGAACACGAAGTCTTTTTTTTTGGTCTTTTTCTCTTTGTCTTTTGAGTTTATCTTGTGTGAGTATCACTCGCTTCTATTCTTCCAAATTTTCACGTCCACAAAAATCTGAGGGCAAGTTTGTAAAGTTATTATTCCTCGGCTCTTGATTTATTAGTGGAGGGATTAACTTTCTTTTTTTTTTTTTTAACATATAATAGCTTATTTTAAATAATTAAACAAATTCTTTTTTTTTTTTAACATGTAATAGCCAACAACCTCAATTCATCTAATTTAAATTAGAAATAGATTCAAACTTAAAATTTTAATCTTGAACTAATTTGAAAATAAAATAACTTAAATTTGAAATGATCAAACTTAAAAATTTTGAAATTGAACATAAATTTAATTTTTATTTTAAAAGAAATATTAATTATAAATATAACACAAACTATTATTCTACTAATGTTTAATGACTTTAAATGATCTTTTAAAATATCTCTCTTTTTTTTTCATTTTTTCAATTTTTTTTTGTCCAAGACTTTTCTAATTATTAAATAATGAGAATTCAATTAATTTTAGAATGTTCTTAATTACTATTAAATTATATTCTAATTTAAGTACATGTTAAATATTTTAAACTTATCTTTAGTTTAATTATATATTCACATAGAGATGAATATTTTATGTTATTCCATTTAAAATAAATTAATTGTTATTATTAACAACATATAAACTCGTAGACCTATTGTTAGATATAGATTAAATGAGTCACCACCAATTTTTTTTTGTTAATATGTGATTGATCACTTAACAAAATTTATCCCATTTAAAGATGAATCCAAAGATTAACTTAGGTATCTTTAAATAGTATATTATAATCCACGAAATCAAATCTTAGGTTCGATAGTGCAGTTACACGTGAGGAAGGTTATAGCACCCTCACAACTCCCTTCTAAAAGATAGTGCCAGTTTCATTTCAAATCATCTAAGCCGTAAAGTTTCTTTATAATTTTACCAACTAATTTAATTATTGAAAATTGATCTAAAAATTATTTCAATAGTTTGATACAATTAAAGATAATTTTCTTACCTTAAGAATATTCATGGAGACTAATATCTCACTCTGAAGAGGCTCCGTCGTCGTATTCATTAGATTTTCATGTAAAAACTTTTATTTATGAAAATGAAGTTTAGAACCTTGGTCTTAAAAAATTCTCATCCAAATTCTCCAATATGTTTGTAAAATATAAAGGTTATAGAAAAATTGATAAAATAAGCTCAAAACATGCATGTTAAAAGGGTTGCGAACCAAATGATTATTTCTTTTCAAAATAAAATACCATGGCATTCTGCCCTCTTCTTCATAAGCATTTTCTCAATTTTTATTTCTTTTTCATTTCTTATAATTATCAATTTTATCTTTTCAACATTTTTCCTTTTTAAAGAGGATTCAAATGTAAATGGCTTACTACTTCTTTCTAGGTATGTTTTTTTTTTTTTTTGCCCTTGAGATCTTTTGTGACCTTTGCCTTACTTTTGTGAAAGGTTTTTTTTCCAAAATTTGCCTCTTAGCTTGGAGAATGATCCAAGGTGGTTTTTTTTTTCAAATGAATCGTAACAGGTTAAAAAAAGGTATGAAATGGAAAATCTTATTAATGTATGAAAGGTAAAAGAAAGATGATCATTTCTCATGTCAAATATGAATACCTTTTTTGAAGAACATAAATTGATAAAAGATGAGCTTGTTAACAGATGTTGCCGAAAACAACTTTATTTTTGCCAACCTTAACTCCTTTTGCTTCATTGATGTAATTTGATATGAATGAGTATTTAAAATTGAATCACAAATTATTAGCATCATTTTCAAAACATTCATTACTTGAAATTTGACAATGGGTAAAAAGAAAGATACGAAAAGATATACAAAAGCACAAAATAACAATTCGAATGAAAGTGGAAATGAAAATGCATCATTGCCATTTTATTGAAATGATAAAGGCAAAATGAAAGTCCAAAAGGTCCTTTAATGCTTGCAAGCAAAAACATTACTTTCAAAGAGATTCAAAAAAATGCAAGCAACCTTGTCTTTCCCTATCACCATGCCTTAATGTGATCAGGTAAAAAATTCCCCACTAACGCTTGACCTAGCTTTTTTTATCGAAGTTCAACAAGCCAGCCTTGATTAAACTTTGCAACTTATGTTTGAAAGTAGGGTAACTTTTTATCGAATGGCCCACATTCCCACAATGACACTTGTATTGGGTATTGGTATCATACCAATTGAGGTAGAGAGGTTTCAATGAGTCTAAATGGACCACTACAATAAAGTCATTCTCAATGAGCAAAAAAAATAACTTAATGTAAGACATGAGAATTTCATCAATGCATGTTCTATCTTGGTTGTTCCTTAGCCTTCTTTAATTACCCACAGGGTTATCAAATTGAGATAAAGAAGTATGAATGGGTGCTTGGTGAAGGCCCGGTTGAGATCTGGATTGTAGGATTGGTTAAAGTGGGTAAAGATTTGTTGAGACATTGTTTATGGTAGGGTAGAAAAAATGGTAGACCAAGTGAGGGTAATACAAGGCAAATCTTCTAACCCATTACTTCTAATAAGTCACAGTTTAAACATCTCCTTCTTTTTTCATGGATGATTTCTCTTTGTATGTGTCTCATTCATCAAGCTTGCTATTCTGGATTGCATTCTTTATTATTTCTCTAAAAATCACCATATCTGTAAATTTTTTTGTGGCATTTTCAATCATCTTATCATAATACAACACTTAAAAAGTATTAACAAATAAGACAATGGTCTCTTTTTCTATAACGAGAGGTTGAACTTAGTCGACTGCATCTTTCTACCTTAGAGCATATTCTTTAAAGCTCTTAGTAGCTTTCTTCTCCATATTTTATAATGGCATACAATCTAAGTTTAAATCTACAACATATCTATATTATGCAACTAAGCTCTTTTCACGAACGGACCTGGCTTCTATCTAGTTGAATGTACTATTTAGTGGTAAATCCTATAAGGCTATCATGAAAAATATGGATCAATAATTTAATATTATGGGCATGAGCATCCATCTTTTAACAGTATATGGTGATGTGAGTCACTGGACATGCATGTTAAAAGGGTTGCGAACCAAATGATTATTTCTTTTCAAAATAGAATACCATGGCATTCTGCCCCCTTCTTCATAAGCATTTCCTCATTTTCTATTTCTTTTTCATTTCTTATAATTATCAATTTTATCTTTTCAACATTTTTCCTTTTTAAAGAGGATTCAAATGTAAATGGCTTACTACTTCTTTCTAGGTATGTTTTTTTTTTTTTTTGCCCTTGAGATCTTTTGTGACCTTTGCCTTACTTTTGTGAAAGGTTTTTTTCCAAAATTTGCCTCTTAGCTTGGAGAATGATCCAAGGTGGTTTGTTTTTTCAAATGAATCGTAACAGGTTAAAAAAAGG